TCCGGTAGGGGTACAATAGTATTACGTGAGTCAGCCCACTAATGCGGCGACCAGGAAGCCAACACACTTGAGAAACAACTTCGATGAAGACCAGTCGCAGTTTCCACGGATCTCGAGTCTCGCTCATTCGGCAACAATACCAGATTTTCACGCGCTCATTATCTCAGGTAGGGGCATCGTAGGGGACAATGCGGTTTGAGTTTTATATGAACAAAGCTAAGACAGCTAATCAATAATACTGCAGAAGGATCGCTCAAATTAAAACGCAGGAAAAGTATTCATTAGATATCGACTAAGACTAATACTGCAGCATGGTTTCAGCATTTTACCCTTGTACGCTCTCCTTCTTTATCTGCTCTTGATAATATGCTATATAATTGCCAAACCCTACCTAATTTGCATAATTTTTTTTTAAATATTAAAATCCCTAGCCCTTATTCATTCACAGACCAAAAATTAGCAAAATCCGTTTAACCTGAACTGACTAATGGCAATTCCCATTTTTGCCAAAAAGTTGCCGTGGCTCGAAAGTACGTCGACTGGCGTGCTTCAAAATAGGACGTTTAATATAGGAGCATAGCAGTAACAACTATACCCAATTTCAAACATGTGGGCCAAACGGTTCCTGAGTTATCGTTGACCGAAGCGAAATGTTGACGGACGAATGGACGGACAGACGTACGACGACCCATGGCAATAGCTCAGCTTGACGATGTCAAAGTGAGCTAAAAATGAGATAAAAATGTATTATTCATATGTATTACCTTGGTGAATAAGTTGGTAGAAGGCATGTTGTCCATTAGTTCCTGGCTCGCCCCATATGATCGGCCCAGTTTTATAGTTGACGCGGTCACCACTGCGTGTCACATACTTTCCGTTGCTCTCCATGTCTCCCTGCTGGAAGTAGGCTGCAAACCTGTGCATGTACTGCAAAACAAACATAGCTGCAAATTTGAGATCACCATGTCAGATACTGTGTGGGTCCCACAGCTATACTACATATATACCACAATAGTCAGATATGGGAATTCTTATCTCTGCTAATAATTCTGCCACCTGATGCTTGCTTCTGAGATACCCATTAAACATTTTATCTAGTCGAAATGCCTATTTTCCCAGAGAACAAAGTAAAGGCTTTGAAAGCAGATCATAATAAAACAAAGATCAGCCTATACCTTGGAAGCAGCTAGTTAAAGAAACACAGACTAATCTCTGCCAAGGAAGCAGCTATAGGCACCAAAAACAAAAAATAAACAGTGTTGGGGAGCAGCTAGACAGACTAATTATATTACTACTGGGGAGCAGCTAGTCCGTAAAAACGAAGACAAAACACTGCTAAGGAAGCAGCTAGTCAATAAAAAATGATGACTAAACATGCTGGAGGAGCAGTTAGTCAGTAAACACAAAAAGAAGACATTGTTTGGGCATCAGTTGTCCTTTAAAACCTATACCTGGTCATATGGAAGCAGGGCATGACTCTCGGCACCATAGAAGTTGCTGTACCACACGCCTAGCAAGGCTAGAAGGATGGGGATGTTTTTCTCCAGTGGTGCTGTCCTGTAATACAAACACAAAACTCTCATTTATTCATCAATTCCACATCATGATAAACATAAATTTATTTGATTTTATTGGAACTATAATGTGATATTTGGTAATCCAAAAAGCCATATAGTCATATAGCCATATAGGTAATCCAAAAAGCCTTTTTTTGAGAATAAAAATGTCTTTAACAAAAGAATTATTTTCGTGACATGTCTTACATACTGTATTAGAGAAGAAGAAAAAGGTACATATTCATGTTAATTAATAGGACAAAGGTATATTCGAATTGCAATTAAATACATTATTGGCTTAGCCTTACTTACTTGAAATGCTCATCCATCGCGTGGCCACCAGCCAAAAGCTCCTCAAAATTGTCCTGTCCAATGTTAAGTGCAATAGCCATTCCTATGGCTGACCACAGTGAGTAACGACCACCAACCCACTACAAGGAAGCAAAGGTGAACTCACATATTAACACCATGTATGAACTACCTCTGTAGTCGTGATGCTTAGATTGTCTCATCCGTTTAAGAAATTTTCTTACACAGGAACCCCACCAGCATGATTTGGGGGGAAAAGTGAAAAAAACGATGCACTGTATCTTTCATATACAACTGCAGCAATTTACTTCACACTCTTTCATCATGCAGAGAGAACATACATGTATTACAGGTGGCAAGAAGCTACCGTTCTGTTAAATCTGCTGTTCGTTGAAGAAAAATCTTTAAACGCTCATCGCCATATATTAACAGTAAACACATGTAGATTTCCCATAGAAGCCAATAATAGGCTGTGGTTTTGAATCAAATGTTCCAATTGTTGTTCAAATACATTCATGTTCAAAACATTCCATATTGACCTTGCATATTTTCCTCTGTTTATAGAGCTTACTATTAGTAATACTATAACACAGTCTTGAAGGATGTTTAATGCTGAAAGGGAAATTTGGTTAATGTATAAGTTAGTTTCACAAAAAGTAAAATGTGTGAAATTTCACGGTTATGGGTGAATATCAATTTGTTGAATATTGTTTCAATTGTCCGGAAAACAACAAGTTTGCACTTACGTCCCAAAACTCAAACATGTTCTTTTCGTCGATTCCAAAGTCCTTCACCTTGGCTGCATTTGTCGATAGTGCCACAAAGTGCTTAGCCACAGCAGACTCCTGTTCCAGAGAGAAATTACAGCTGTGATCAGTTACAAGCACAAGACTTTGTGATAACACATCCGCACACCACCACACAACACTGCTTTGTGAACAATGTCCACATATTAGGATTTCTTCCTAACAAATGAGTATTTCTTCAGCGTTTTGAATGCTACTACACATGCCGGCGCAAATGAAGGAGCAAGCAAATATAAAGTTGGCCGAGCTCGCAGGGTTCAGGCTCAGCCTACTCACATCTTTGTGGGCAGCAAGCAGCCACTGCTTGGCAGTGACGGCGTTAGTTATTGTCTCCTGCGTGGTGAAAGTCTTAGACGCGACGATGAACAGACAGCTGTCCGGGTGGAGCTTCTTCAACGTCTCTGCGATGTGGGTGCCATCAATGTTGGACACAAAGTGCACCCGCGGACCACCAGCCGAGCATGGCTTCAGGGCTTCAGTAATCATGTATGGTCCCTACGCAAGAAAAGCTAGTTTCACCTTCAATTACACATATAACAGTTTCTTCAGTAATTATGTAAGGTCCAAATTAATGAAAAGCTAGTATGACCTGCTATATGTATATATTTAATGACAAAAAAATCATGATGTACGTACCAGACATGTTTTCTGGCACCCTGTAATACCCACATGCATAAAGGTCAGATTTTAGCCCATTAGTTTGATGTGGCTTCACGAACATTGTCCACACAGAACTACTACAGATGTACAGTATACCAAGTCAGAGCCACCGATGCCGATGTTGATGACGTCGGTGACGCGCTTGCCAGTGAATCCTAGCCAGGTACCGTTCCTCACACTGTCTGTGAACTCACGCATCTGACTCAGCACCTTGTTGACACCAGGCATCACCTGACAACACATTGTACAAAAAATAAGTAATGGCTGTCACCTAACAACACATTGTACAAAAAATAAGTAATGGCTGTCACCTAACAACACATTGTACAAAAAATAACTACTGGCTGTCACCTAACAACACATTGCACAAGACATAAGTACCGGATGTGAAGTGATAACACAACGTATAACAAATAAGTACAAGGCATCACCTGAGAACGTAACATACAATAAATTGGTACTGGCATCATGTGACAATACAACATACAACAAATAAGGGATGGGCATCACGTGACAACAAATAAGTACAAAATCATCCAACAATAACAAAAAACAAAGCAATATGAATCCTAATAATCATTTCATGCAACGAGGTTTCTTTGTCCTACTTTTATATGTTCTTTGTTCTTATTAACAAGAAGTACAACATGATACAATGATCCTGAAAATGTTGTGCATCAATTCGACCACAATGTTTTTCAAGGTTATTTTGAGGGAAATGTTACTATTCCAATGCAACATATTAAAGGGACAATGTTGAACATAATCAAACTATGAGACGGAATCCAGCTCGTTCATGTATGTCTACCCACGTACATCATGTCCGTCGACGACGATGGGTGTATTACTCCTGTTCCTCAGGGCTACATGCAGAACCGCACGACTCTCCGTGAAGTTGATCTTTTCTCCGCTGAACATGGCATCTCTCGCCTCCTCTACATGCCTGGCCTTCCCCTGTGTGTAATGTCCAATAAGGTACGTATGAGTCTATGAGATGAGTAGCATCACATTGTATTTATTTACACTTAGTACAATGCAACCTTACAACAGGTATTTCCCACCACGCACACGCATGCATGCACACGTGCATACACGCGCACACACACAGATTATACAGTTATATGTACATGTACATCATGTGTCTGTAACATGCAGTACTATGCTGCTAGATTCTAGTAAGGAATTACCTGAACTCATGAATGCTAAATTGCCAGTATGCCTTAATAATCCTACTCCTAGAAAGGCTGCTTATTATGAATGACCATGAAGTACCCTATATTGGAATGCAGTCACACACAGGAACTCCTCTCATTTGTGATGGTTTGTTATTTTACCCCAGCTGAAACACTAAAACTATTTTAAAATGTGTTCCCTCTATGAATTCCCACTATATAAGAGGCAACACTTATCAGGAGCACACTTACAAGAGAGTAGAGAAGAGCAAGAACATCATCATTGATTAGATTCTTACTGTAGTCCACCAACAGATCCCCATCCTTGCTGTTCAGAGTGATGCTAAAATAAATTAGGAAAAAAAACAGAATTTCAGGTTTTATGTTTATATGCTTTAAACGCAAAAATTTCAGTCTAGGGTGTAAAAACTAAACTTCATAATTGTGGAAATTCACATCCAACACAGGAAAATCTATACTGTTTACAGTTATTGACTTTCATGTACAGGAAACACAGACAAGCACCGCTTTTAACACTAGTAATGTAATTTAGTACTAAACCAGCAGTTCACAGCCATCTCTGGCTCTGGGGGCAGTACTATTCTTCACACCGTGACATTTAAAGTTTAGAGTGGGCAGGTTCAAAGTTCAGTGCATACTTTCGTGCAATGCTCCATCACAACATTTTAACAATGGCATATTCTTCTGTTGCCCTCTCCCTCTACCAATTTTTCAAACTAGCATTTTGGTTATTTTCAATTTTTAAGTGAACAAGTAAAATTACTATATATTATGTACATTAGTATGTATCATTTTAAACTAAGTAAAACCTTTCATTCTCGAAAAAACACGAAATTCTATAATGCTTCAATGACATGAAATTGTCTAGAATTTCTACCCTAAACCAACCATATCTGCAACCATGACTCTCTACTTCTGTACTCTGTGAACGTTTTATGTTTTCATTTCATCACGCCAGTAACCGTACAAACACTGTGGATCAAAGAGAGTAGAATTTCGCAAATATTATTGACTGAAACCCATACACATACAGATGCATACAGTACCATCTCATCAATGACTCATCAAACTACACTGCAGTAGACATTCATGAATACCTGCCATTATATGGGAATTTTTTAATTAAAGAATAAAAACAATTGAGAAAATATATAAGTGATTTTATAACATAACCCAGACATTATGGTTAAGAGTGCCAATGGAGCAGTAATACCAACTTACATATCTGCTTCTGAGCAGATTAAATCTCTTATCCACTAATGATATAATCATTTACATGTACTTCACTTATTAAAACTGTATTCCAAACATAGCAAAGTCTAGCTTAGTAAGCGAGCTACCCATTAGAAAAAGTACACACATCAGTTATGTTCAACTACTGTTTGAAATTCTTGGCTTTGGTGTTTTAAAAGCATGAGTTTTGTTACTCCCTTTAAATAGAAGGTACCACTGAGCAGATGTACAGTAGAGTTTACTGCAGATCAGATCAGCTAAAAATACAGCGATGCTGGTAACAAGAGTGGGTTTGAAGAGCTCTGGCATCAGACGAGTTATTATGTCACATTTTGTAGTGGAAACTAGAAGCTCATACATAGATGAGAAACGTTCAATCTTGGGCACTAGCTAATGTCATATTGCCTAAATCCATACGAGCCGGCTTCTGGGGGAATTTAATAATGTAATCATCTCACTCCATTTTATGTCCCTAGATCCACTGCACAACTGGAAGAGGATGTGCCAGTGGTTAGTGTGTCATGGGGCGAGGAAAGTGCCGGTCTACATAAGATCACATACTATTTCCTTAAAGCTGCTTTATGACCACCTCAAACACTCCAGTTGCACATACACGCCCATCATGATGTTCCCTCCACTAGTGACAATGAACATAAAAAGAAATGAAACTTTAAATACCCGTGCCTGCTGGCTGGGGCGGCATTGATTGAAGTACGGGGGGGGGGGGAGTGCACAGATTGTTTCAGTCGCGTGGGGCATGCTCATTACTGATATGTAGGGGGGGGTCGGCACCGCTGGTATGAGAGAGCGACAGCAACTCTTTCCTGGGATTGAGAAAAAAGCTGCAATCAGCACTCAAAAATAAATGTTGTCTGAATTTCATTACGATTTTCCATGTATATACTGTAATGGACTGAACTAAAAATGTACCTAAACGGCTCTAGATTGCAAGTAAATTTTGGACAAGTAAAAATTGCTTCTTAATTGTTGGCCAACAGGACAACCAGATCTGAAAATAAGCGTCGAGGCCGGTTTCTAACAACACTGGCCTTAGGCCAAAACAAAATATAGGTGTGGTTACGGTTTCCCGACCGACCCTATTTATTCCCAGCGACCTTAAACATTTAATTGTCAATTTTCTTTAAAGTAAAAAAAAAAAAATATATATATATATATATATATGAATAGGACAGTTCCTGCTTCAAAAGGCACAACGCACATCCTTCGGACATGGTTCGTAAATAAAATATTTCAAGAAAATAAAATGTTTTCCCAACCTACCCTATTTTTTTCCGCCATGTAACGGTAACCACACATATATTTTGTTTTGGCCTTAGCAGTAATGGTGAAATCTAACAATTCTCAGATTTATGGAGCCATGTAGATACAATAATGTACCCCAACAAGAGTAGGGTTACAATGCGAGCCTATTCTTTTCTTTGTAGGAGCCCTTGAGTGATTCACTCAGAGCGGTTTTATGGTGCGTTTTTCGAGACAACAACTTCCAAACTGGGTTTATTCTAAACACGAACCTTTCTCTGCTAACCTGGGACTTACTATGTATCACAATACTTTGTATTAAACTAATATAACCTGTTACACAATTTCGAAGTGACGAGCGGCGATATTTTGAGCGCCATTTCTGTTGACCTGTGACGTACGCATTCCCAATGTGCATAGCATTCGGCTAACTTCGGCTCCTGTGTTGCCTGACATGTTGGCTCTGGTGATGTCATGACTGACAGCAGGCATCCCATGATGCATTCAATCTTGGAGCCGAAGTTAGCCGAACGCTATACGCATTGGTAATGCGTACGTCACAGGTCAACAGAAATGGCGCTTGAAGTATCGCCGCTCGTCGCTTCGAAATTTTGTAACAGGTTATATTAGTTTAATACAGAGTATTGTGATACATAGTAAGTCCCAAGATAGTGGAGAAAGGTTCGTGTTTAGAATAAACCCAGTTTGGAAGTTCTAGTCTCGAAAAACGCACCATAAAACTGCCCTGATTGAATCACTCAGGGGCTCCTCCAAAGAAAAGAATAGGCTCGCGTTGTAACCCTACTTTTGTTGGGTTACATTATTGTATCTAGGAGCCATGATGCCGTACAATTATTCGAGAGTAATTAAACATGCTGTATCATGTAATGTGTTTCCATTTGAATGCTACATGCAGAGCCCTGTTGATTTTCAACGATAGCAGCAACAAGTCTGATCGGGATTCTGCAAATCAAGTTATGCACTATCTCACTGCTGTGATCGGGAACTACAATGAAAGGGTTCAGAGTAATAAGGTACACCCGGTTATGCATGATTTTTCATTTGTCCGGATTGAAGGTCACACACACATGCACACCCATGTCTTTTTTTCCAAAATGAATACTAAGGATACTATCAAGAGTGCATAATAGAGAAGAGTATGACACGGTTTTAACAGCGTTTTGCATAGTTTTCAACTGGTAAATAATCTATCAATATGTGAATAAATATATTCAAACTTTACCTTGTTTTCGCTCAATGATTCCTCCCTTAATCATATGAACACCACCAATTTACCTGAAAATCGTATGTGTTCTTCAAAAAAGTTATTTGAATACGACACGGTTCCGTACAGTTTTCACGCATGAATGCATCTCTCCGACCGAACTTTCTTATGGGACTATGTTTCTGTTGTCTATGAGCGTAACGCTGGGGGCCGTAAGGGAATCAGCTGCTAGCTAGCTGGCCGTGAGGCGCATTTATTTTTAGCACGCTGGAAACGCTGCACGCTGAATACAATTCGATGGCCTAATATCCCATACGACCCCAAAGTTCCGTCATAAGACAATAAAAACACTAAGTCCCATAAGAAAAGTTCGGTCGGAGATATGCATTCATGCGTGAAAGACTGTACAAAACCGTGTCGTATTCAAATAACTTTTTGGAAGAACACATACGATTTTCAGGTAAATTGGTGGTGTCATATGATTAAGGGAGAATCATAGACGAAAAACAAGGTAAAGTTTGAATATATTAATTCAACATATTGAATAGATTATTTACCAGTTGAAAACTATGCAAAACGCTGTTAAAACCGTGTCATACTCTTCTCTATTATGCACTCTTGATACTATGCAGGGCTGTTACTTGGTCATCACAATGGTAAATCGTATGGTAAAGTCCTGCATCGTTGACAAAAAGGAGTGTAGAAGTACCGTACTCTTAATCAGTTTGACTATACTAATAGTACTACTAATTATTAATATTATTATTATAATAATAATAACGCGGTTAGAATAATAGACTGGACCAAGCACAGAAGAATAAGTACGCCTGATGGACTAATTGTCTACTGGAAACTAATCCGTATAGACACAGTTAGTGAGTTACGAAACAATGCAGCTAGGGCAACTGGATTAATTGTGGGCCCAGTTTTCGCGGGGGAGCGACAGCAGAAAAATAGGCATAGGCACAGGCACTGCGCGGTTCAATGGTATAAGAGATGGATGTTCCAGTTGAGACTAATGTTCATTGTTGTAATGTGAGGTAGGCCCTTTAAAATCGACAGGGGGGGACCTGCACTAGGCATAGCTCTAGTGCTAATAGCCCGCCTTACATTGAACTGCCGAGCTAGGACAGCATTGACTGCCGCTGGAGCTTGACGGGTGACACTGCCAGCGGCAGTAATTGTAGGCAGTGGCTAACGGTAGCCAGCCGTACTCTAAATGTCTCGAGGTCTGACGGGTACGCCAGTCGCATTGGCTTTCAATACTTAACTGAGACCAAAGTAATGTGAAATAAATGCGGCGGTTGGCAGCGCGCAGAATTTGTGAAATAACCCTTGCGGAATAAATTCACGATTTGAGAAAGTTTATGATAGCCAATAACCCTAAACCCCTGAACCCTAACCTAACCCCTAACCATAACCCTAATACCTAACCCTAACACTAGATACCTAACCCTAACAAGCTACCAAAAAAGGTGAGCTTATAACGACCGACTGGCTGGGCGTAACTCCCAGCCTATGCGTAAATTGTAAGGGCTAGCGCTATTAAGTGATTACTATTAGGCCATGAGAAGATGAAAAATCCGGTTTACCGTCCAAGGATTGGAATTTTTAAAAAAGTGATGAGGCTTATTTTTCCATTATTCATTATTTGCATTAATTAATAATTTTTCAGGCTGAAATACACGTGAAATACATAAGGAACAATAAACAACTCGGTTTTTTTTGTTTTTTTTTTCGGAATTTTCCAGATCGGGAATTTTCGGACTTTAAGGTCGTTCATGCTTTCGGTTTTTTCGACAAATCTTATTCCGCCCCTGATATATCTGTCTACCGGTTAGAAAAGTGGCATGTACAATACCGGACTGCCCAAAGCTTGTCAAGAAATCCATTCCAGAATTCTGTTTAGGCTAAAGTACACCTTGTGATTAGTCTATTATGTTTCAGTGAGGGATTTTTTTCCAAAATAATGAAAATTTTTGGTAAAATAATGACTTTTTTGTAGGCGGGACTAAAGCGGCATGCGGGGTGACGGGTAAACCGGATTTTTCATATCTCATGGCCTATCAGTATTAGTATTGGCGCTTGGCATCCTGCGACGGTACGTCGCCTGATTATTTTCTCCTTAAAGTCCACGGACTGACGGTACTGACTGCCTGATTGTTGATGGCTGTTTCTTGCGATATACATAGCACAGTCCAAAATTTTAATTTCAATATGTGGGAGCAGCGCACGGGTAGTGCCGCTTGCCCCAAAGTTGAATGGTCGCGGAGTCGATCCATCCGTTTTCTAATTATTTCCTGTTTTCTGTATTTTCTATCTATTAATCTGTTTAACATTTATTTTTCCAATTAACGCAAATATTAAACATTCATTTATTTACAACATTTTAATAACACAATAATTTTACAACAATTAAAATATTAAATTTTATTAACTTTAATAAGAGTTTTAAGGGTTAGGGTTAGGGTCTCGGTGTAGGCGCTAGGTTAGGGTATAGGTAGGGTTAGGGTGTAGGCTGTTAGGTTAGGGTTAGTATCCGTATATAATCGTATAAAATCGTATATATAATATCGTAGCCAAAAGCAACGGTAGTTATATATTCGCCGATAAGTAGGCCCCTGGCATCATCTACCGTGAGAGTTGAAGAGAAAAAAATTATCGGCGACGGTACCCGTCGCATGGAGCAACAGCCATTAGTATTACTAGAACTAGTACTAGAACTACCACTGGCACTGCACTGGGGCCACTCCACAGTTAATTATTACATGGCTTTCATACCTGTACTTGTTGAAGCGGTCAGCGTCAGCACTGAACATCTCTCGCATGTTAATATTAGTGCCATTCTTGTTATAATAATTCTGCAATTTCTTGAAAGCCGGCTCTTCAGTCAAGCGGTTCTGCTTCGGGATGGGTGCCATGGCTGGTGGTGAATTTACTGCTCACTTGTCTACCTATTTATACGCCTTTGGCGCCAGCCGCGCCACCGCTTCCAGCATTCGTCGATAAGTTTTGGCATGAATCAAGTGGTTGTAACTCATACTCGTTGTTTCGTTATATGTAAGATTTGTGACTCACATATCTGTTATCAAAGATTAATGCTAACTTATACACTTAAATGTATTGTTGTGTGCTTAGCATTCGTCCTTTCTGATTCTGGGGCCGGCAGACAGAGCTATTTTTACTTGTAATTGTATCTTTACGGCAGTCCGGAGTAGGCCTAGAGACATCTATCATCTATGATCTATGACTCAGGGTTAGGGTTTGGGTTTTTGCATCATTTCTTGATATACGGAGTCTGTGCATCAGTTGATGATACACAGAAATCTGTGCATCAGTTGATGATACACAGAAATCTGTGCATCACTCCGTGATACCTAAGCCAAGGTGCCTAAAGTGGATTTGCGCCGTTACACACCACGTACCCACACTACTACTGTCACTACCACTACTACTACTAGTACTAGGCACACAGTCACAGGCACTTGGAGCGTTTCAATAAAATATCATGCTAAATAAATACGAAATCTATTTACTACCAAAGTCTTAATGTTTCTATTCTCTCTTTCACCTATTATTGCCGACAATTTCCTGTAAATGCCGTCCAAATGCTCATCTGCAACAAACACTGGCTACCGCCATGGCTGCCACTGCACACTGACACCTAAATATATAGCAGGTAGGAAATCGTGCTGCCAAAATTTTGCTCGACGCTTGCATGATTTCACACGAATACAACACAAATATTCAACCATTCTACTCCATCTTTGTTTCTATTTGAAGAATAGTGTTTACTTGTTACAAAAACATACTGTCTGTGTTCGTAATCGAACTGTGTCACGCGAAATCACACAAAGCCTGACGAAATTCTCGCGTTTGCTCCCGTTACGCAGTTTATCTAAATGGCTGTCAGAATCAGGAAACGCCCAGCGGCGCTCTTCGTGACCTCATTTTGCGCCGCAACGCTGCAACATTTTTGCAACGCTCCACTGGCGAGGCTCGTCTGAGAGTTGGAAAGCATCGTGGTAGTTTCCCAAAATGCAGTGCGCCGCCTATACTATAGCCATGTACTTGAAGCCATTTACATAAACTGCGCTACGGGAGCAAACGAGAGAATTTCGTCAGGCTTTGTGTGATTTCGCGTGACACAGCTCGGTTACGAACACAGACAGTATGTTTTTATAACAAGTGAACACTGTTCTTCAAATAGAAACAAAGATGGAGTAGAATGGTTGAATATTTGTGTTGTATTCGTGTGAAATCAAGCGAGCGTCAAGCGAATTTTGACAGCACGCTTTCTTACCTGCTATATATTTATGTGTCAGTTTGCAGCGGCAGCCATGGCGGTAGCCAGCGGGTGTTGCAGATGAGCATTTGGACGGAATTTACAGGAAATTGTCGGCAATAATAGGTGAAAGAGAGTATAGCAACATTAAGACTTTGGTAGTAAATAGATTTCGTATTTATTTAGCCTTATATTTTATTGAAATGCTCCAAGTGCCTCTGACCAGGCACTACTACTACTACTAGTAATACTACTAGCACTAGTAGTATTAGTGTAAGTAGTCACTATATAGTAGCATGGTACTGGTCAACCTGTCTGGTTCGCTTGATACAATGTATATACACATCACATTTATGTTTATCAACAATAATGTTTATTTTACATCGCCACACTTGCGCTTGCAAATATATGCTATGCCTGCTGTGTATAACGCTACTCTCGGCATAGTAAGGGTGCGCACTCACGCTCTCGCACTCTGCGCGCACTCGCTCAGATGCGCTGCCGTATAAAGTTGATAACTCAACAACCACTACCCCGATTTTGGCGATTTTTTTTAATATCCCAGCGGGATACCAAGCATTGAAATCTGGTATCCAACACAAGAATTTGGTATCCCGCGGATATCGGGATACCGCTAATTTCGACCCCTGTTGGGTGCCTGCTATTTTTTTCAGGTACTTAGTGCTACTTCTCATTCTCATCTATGATGATGTCGTCAAATTGTTCATTTGAATCTTATATTCACTTATTCAAACCAGGCCTTATAACAAAAATGAAATTATGTTGGTATAGTATTTAGTGGTAAAATTCTTATTTAGAAACTAATGTTAAAATAAAAAAACATAGTAATAACTAGATGATAAATTTTTAAATAAGAAATGCTAGCTGGTCTATTACATTTAAGGCTAAAACGTTCTTAGTACAATTTGTTGTCATCACTACAAGAGGCAACAAAAGTAATAGTGCTATAATAAGCCATATCGGAAAGTCCCCGTCGCCATAATGATATTGAGATCAGATAAGAGGGGGTATAAGTTGCTCTTTTATAATATAGCATAGGTAGGATAGGACTGGTCTAGGTTTTTAGCTCATCTGACATAGTCAGATGCAGCTTGTAGAATCGCATGAGCGTGCGTCCGTCCGTCCGTCCGTGCGTCAACAGTTGGGCACAAATCTTAACCGCTTGACGTACGGTCACGATATTGGGACGTCGGGGGGGGGGGATTGTCAAAACGAGTTGGGATGTCGAAGCTGGGGGTCAAAGGTCAAAGGTCAAAAGGGGTAAAAGAAGGGGGAACATTCCCTCCTTAAATTAAGGTATAGGGAGGAAATGCAGAATTGCGGCACGAATCTAAACGGCTCGACCTAGGCTTGTGATAGTCGGTGTACAGCATCATGGTAGGGAAAGCCATCACTGTGCCGAAATTGGAGGTCACAGGTCAAAGGTCAATTGGGCACAGGGCAAATTTTAGACATTTTTCTGAGGACATGGTCTGACGGAGCGATTGAAAAACTTTTTTGTTTCAGCGGTGACCTACCATTTTTAGGGCTTTATTGAAAGGACCATGAAATGTACTTTCCGCTGACATGTGAAGAGTAAGTGTCGGATAACCTTTTGACCTTCAAGAGGCGGGTTAATTACATGGATTTGTTTACTGTTAGAAAGAATTTGACTGCCGGGTTTGCTAGTCGAATCTATACATGCCTGGATGTATGAGGCTACAATGTCAAAATGAAATTTCAAAAGCTAAATTTGGTTGAAGAAGGTTTATGCTCCTTAAATCGTATAATTTCTATGGCATTCGTAGCGGTCAGTGTGTTACATGTAACAGTATGCCACTGCCAGTTGGCCACTGCCAGTGGCCACTGCCAGTGCATGTCGTGGTGGTACTTGTGTAAATTTTGCCTGCGTAATTAGTTACAGGTGCAGCTCTCTATTTCAGCCTGTAGGCTTGCGTAGGTAAATGGATGAGTGCTTTACCTATTCTGTCTTGCAAATAGTTGTTGCTACTACTTACGATGAGAGCTTCCATCTTTAATCTGAGACACTTAAACGTACGCGCAATCTCGTGCAACTTTCATAACGATCCCAACGAACATTCCTTTGAGAAGGTTCCTGATACCATCCCTGTGCCTTCCACTGTTTCGGCGTGTATGTGAACACATTTTGGACTAACAGGGTTATAGAGAATCCCACACTCCACCACAGAGTCACCGCAGTAGACGTTAGATGAGCGCTGTCGCTCCGCGGCACTCGTTGATACAATCGATATAGATACTTGCTATAATTAATTAAACCACCGCGCTTCAATAAACTCAGAATCACAGAGATCATAGATAACACATGTGTTTATATGTATCTAGATTTCTAGAAATGTAACTCAAATCGTTCGCGCCATAATAATATTATGATAGTTTAATTGTACACTTTCTTACCGCCATAGCCGGCGTATATAGCCATGTGCGATACGCGCGTAGATACTTGCTAATTAATTAAACCACTCTCGCTTCAATAAACTCCGAGATCACAGAGATTATAGATAAACACGTGTTTATATGTATCTAGATTTCTAGAAAACGTAACTCAAATCGTTCGCACCCATAATAATATTATGATAGTTTAATTGTACATTTTCTTACCGCCCATAGCCGTGCGTATATTAGCCTATGTAGTGTCTACACGACAACACCGATAGCGATTATTACCGATTTATTATGCATGCGTGTGTGCGTGTGTATGTAAACGTGCGTGCGTGTGTGCGTGTGCATGTGCACGTAGACGTGCGTGCGTGCGTGCGTGTGTGCGTGCGTGCGTGTGCATGTGCACGTAGACGTGCGTGCGTGCGTGCGTGTGCATGTGCACGTAGACGTGCGTGCGTGCGTGCGTGCGTGCATGTGCACGTACACGTGCGTGCATGAGTCATATGGCGCGAACGAGAATGAATTTTGAGTTTATTGAAGCACTATTAGTCTAATTAATTACTACGGACCATTGTACAGCGTATCCATACGGCGCTGTACTTGAGCGGGCAGCGGGTGTGGATCCATTTGGAAACAACATGGTGTCCAACAATCACGTAACCAATTTTTTCCGACTCGTCATGTCGCAACTCTCTGTATATAGGGACCCTAGCTATGTATATATGTAGATATTATGTATGTAACCTCCCAAACAGTTCAAATTCCCCGCATAAGCTTACCTGGGTATTGCAAACCCCAGAACGCCCATTAAAAATAGTGACATCATGAGCGAGTGCTATCAGCGTGCCACCCCGGCAAGCGAATCAGCAGCTGTTCTGATCCGCTGTTGCTAAGCACGTTTGTGTACATAGAGTTGTGAACACATTTGTTGTGTTTTAAAAATTACAAATATTCGTGGATCTTTTCAACGTATTTCATAAATTAGCATTTAAATTAGAGAATTAGCATTATTAGAATTAGCATTCCAGGCACCCTTTTTTAGCTCATCTGACGTAGTCAGATGCAGCTTGTAGAATTGCATGATTGTCCGTGCGTCCGTGCGTCAACAGTTGGGCACAAATCTTAACCTCTCAACGTACGGTCACGATATTTGGAACGTGGGGGGGGGATCGTCAAAAGGACTCGGGAGGATCAATTTGGGGGTCAAGGGTCAAAGGTCAATTTGTGTAAACGGAGGGGGAATATTTTCCCCTTAACTTAACGTATAGGAGGAAATACGGAATTGCGGCACAAATCTGAACGGCTCGACCTATGCTCTTAATATTCGGTGTATAGTGTGATGGTAGGAAAAGCCATCACTGTGCTGAAATTGGAGGTCACAGGTCAAAGGGCAGTGGGGGAAAGGTCAGATATCAGACATTTTCTGAGGCTATGTCTGAGGCTAACGGACAGAGTGAAAAACTTTTTTGTTTCAGCGCTGACCTACCATTTTTATCACTTTAATAAAAGGACCATGAAATGTGCTTTCCACTGACGTGCGAAGAGTAAGTGTCTGATAACCCTCAAGAGGAGGGTTAAACATGGATTCCTGAACTGCCTCAATGATGTCACAGTGTTCTCATATTGATGGCACATCCATAATCTGGAAACCCAATATACCTCGATAGCCTAAAGGCTACAGCACAGGATTACGGCTCAAAGGTCCTTCGATCGAATCCCATAAGATTTTATATTATATACCTGTTTTCTGTATTTTTCTATCTTTATCCATTTAACTATTTCTTTCCAATTAAGGAAAATATTTACATGATTTATGTACAACAATTTCATAACAACAAATAATTTTTACAACAATTAAATTTTTTTTTTAATAGGGTTAGGGTTAGGGTCACAATGCACCATAAAACAGGAGTTCAGGCACGCGATTTGTATCAACCAATGGGATTTAGGAGGTATGCAGAATGCAGAAGGTTGCTGAAATGATGTATATGCAACTGCGTATCTGCATATCTGCGCCTAACAAAGGTGTCACTACGCACGACTTAAATGTTATGTTTATAACCGTAGCAACAGACCTCAGATGAGCCAGACGCTCTGCGGCTCTTGTTAGTTCATATTATAAACAACTTATGGTTAAAGGGTTAGGTCCCAACTCGTTGCTGTTTCTGAGAATTAAGAAAAAAATCATATTTTTACATATATTCACAATTTTTGCCGTCACTTAATTAGTGATGAATTTTTTTGATTATTTTCATCGAGAGCGTAGAGAGACATGTAATAGATATTAGTTTGATTGAATTTGATGAGCAGTTATGTTGCAATGTCTTTTACAGAGGTACCTGTCCGTAAGCCTGACTGTATCCTTAACTATCAAACAGCTTCATTGTTCATGTTTATCTGTTAATCTGGCAATGCCTTTACTAACATAGCCCTGCAAATGCTGCCACTTCATGGAGTAGTGCAGCAATAGGCAGAAAATAACCCTGTGTCTACACGGCTATATGGCACCAGAGTTAGTCTGCACAGATTAATAACAACAGTAAAAGCACTCATTAAAATTGTCACTCTGGTTCATGGATAATGTATGCATGGTTGGGTAATTCTTGATATTTTCCACAGGCAATTTTGCCATTGGGGGAGTCGCCAATCATGGCAGTTCACCAAAGGCACTCGAGTGTCGTCTCTCGAAAGAAGGTGCAAGTCTCTTTTGTGATACGGGAAGAAGTGGAACGATTTCATCGGTCTGGTATCAACTCACTGCAGTTTGACCAGTACAACAATCGCCTGTACTCGGCCTGTCGGGACTCAATAATTCGCATATGGAACACAAAGAACATGAAGGATCCATATATACAATCGATGGAGCACCACACCGATTGGGTGAACGACATCGTACTCTGTTGTGGTGGGAGGAATCTGATATCTGCCTCCAGTGATACGACTGTCAAGGTGTGGAATGCCTACAAAGGCTTCTGCATGTCAACTCTGAGAACGCACAAAGACTATGTGAAGGCCCTTGCCTACGCAAAAGACAGGGAGCAGGTGGCGTCTGCCGGGCTAGACCGCTCGATATTTCTCTGGGATGTGAACACGCTAACGGCTCTCACCGCCTCCAACAACACGGTGACAACGTCAAATTTGAGTGGAAATAAGGACTCCATATACAGTCTGGCAATGAACACGTCCGGCACGGTGATAGTGTCCGGCTCCACGGAGAAGGTTCTGCGGGTCTGGGATCCACGCACTTGTCAGAAACTGATGAAGCTAAAGGGTCACGCTGACAATGTCAAGGCGTTGGTGCTAAGCAAGGATGGAACGCAGTGCGTGTCAGGAAGCTCTGATGGAACGATTCGTTTCTGGTCACTCGGTGAGATTTTAGAAGACATTTGTTTTGTATGACCAGCTGTTTGGCTGATTGCATTCCAGATATACAGTATATATACACATACTGGTTGAGTTTAAGCCAGTTATAGCCAATGAAATACTGGCCAGGCATCTTGCACTTGCTGCAACTACTGGCACTTGGTTATCACTGTGGTCAAATTCCTAAGCTAATTTGGTCTCATATTGGGCCTACAATTAAGATTTTGGTTAATGTAGGTTTTATCAAAGTATATCACTCATATACAACTCCAATATAAAAACAGAGGAGTGTGAATGGCTAAATTATTGGAAATCCAATGTGCACTAGCCCTAATCTAATCTAATTATATTGCTATAACTAATTGAATGTTACGTGAAAAGATTGCCTTTTCAATACAAAAGCAATTCTTGGCAAACTTGCTTAAAAATACATCGATACATACATTGTGCGTTATCAAAACTCTAGCAGGATAAATATATATTATGTTTATTTGTAGTGCCGTGCAACGTTAACTATGCTTCTTTGCAGGCCACCAGCGGTGCATCGCCACGGTGAGGGCTCACGACGAGGGAGTCTGGGCGCTGCAGGCCAACGACAACTTTACGACGATATACTCCGGCGGCCGCGACCGAAAGCTCTACATGATTGACGTGCGTAACCCCGACAACCGGCAGCTGATCTGCGAGGAGAGCGCGCCGATCCTGAAGCTGACGCTCAACCAGGACCAGCAGACGATGTGGGTCGCGACGACCAACTCGTGCGTGAACAGCTGGTCGATCAAGCACGCCGAGAACGGCGGCGAGGAGAACGGCGAGGACACGATGGTCTACTGCGAGGCGCCGCTGCACGCGCAGCCGAAGATGACGATCAAGGGTGGCACGAGCATCCGGCAGTACCACGTGCTCAACGACAAGCGGCACATCCTCACGAAGGACTCTGAGGGCAATGTCGCGCTGTGGGACGTGCTCACCGCCTGCAAGGAGGAGGAGCTGGGCCGCGCGAGCCTCGACGACGAGGTGAAGAAGCGCTTCAAGATGATCTACGTGCCGCACTGGTTCACCGTCGACCTGCGCATGGGCATGCTGTCGATACACCTCGACGAGTCGGACTGCTTCGCCGCGTGGGTGTCGGCGAAGAACGTCGGCATGCGCTTCAGCGACGGCAGCGACCCGAAGCTGAACTTCGGCGGGCTTCTCCTGCAGGCGCTGCTCTCGCACTGGCCGCGCACGCAGCCGGACGAGGAGCCGGCGCAGGACGGAGCCGTCTACAACGTGAGCGGCTCCGGCGAGCGCCTGTCGACGAACTACTGCTTCAGCGTGCCGGGCCACACGCCGGTGATCTTCAGCGAGGTGGGCGGCCGCACGCTGTTCCGGCTGCTCGCGAAGGACGCCGGCCGCGAGACGGACGCGATGATGCTCAACGAGACGCTGCCGATGTGGGTCGTCGACATCACCGTCGAGAAGAACATGCCCAAGTTCAACAAGATCGCGTTCTATCTGTTCCCGTACCCAGCCGGCGGCGCCAAGTCGGTGAAGAAGGACCGGCTGTCGGCGAGCGACATGCTGCAGGTGCGCAAGGTCATCGAGCACGTCTACGAGAAGATCATCGGCGCCGGCTCGGACACGGCCTCGCAGGCCGGCAGCACGCACAACTCGACACCGAGCGGCAGCGCGCCCGAGCAGCGATCGGAGAGCGAGAAGGAGACGGACGAGCCGTCGTCGTCGGCCGCCGAGGAGAAGGTGGAGCTGCTGTGCCTCGAGCAGACGCTCGACGCCAACATGGACCTGCGCACCGTGAAGCACTTCATCTGGAAGAGCGGCGGCGACCTCGTCCTGTACTACCGGCTCATGAAATGAGGCGGCGCGCCGACCTCCGACCTCCGACCCTGCCAGGTGGCGTCCGTGTGCTCGACGTGTGGCCGCCAGGTGGCGTCCGTGTGCTCGACGTGCGGCGGCTAGGTGGTGTTCGTGCGCTGGACCTTTGGTCGCCAGGTGGCATTTCTGTGCTTGACCTGCGGCCGCCAGATGGCGTTCGTCATGCGCCAGACCTGCGCCCGCCAGCTGGCGTTCATCGTGCGCCAGACCTGCGCCCGCCAGGTGGCGTTCATCGTGGGCCAGATCTGCGACCGCCAGGTGGCGTTCGTCGTGTGCAAGACCTGCGGCCGCCAGGTGGCGTTTGCCGTGCGCCAGACCTGTGGCCACCAGGTGGCGCTCATGTGCTCGAGCTGCAGCCGCCAGCTGGCGTTTGTCCTGTGGCAGACCTGTGGCCACCAGGTGGCATTCGTCATGCAACGAACCTACCACTAGGTACCTCTCGTCTTGGAAGTGACTACAGCAGACCCGAAGAGGGAAAGCGGGCAGCAGCCACCTGTCTTCCATGTTGTCTTATCGTGAGCTGAACGGAAATTGTTACTGATGATTGTTTTGAATCGTCGTCTAGTTTTGCAAAGCAGATGTTGATCATCGAAGTGTGCTTATAAACTCAACATATTAGGTACAAATTTGCATGAGTTTGTATGAATTTGCTTGTGCTTATATGGCATGTTGAGGTTTGATGCAGGAGTTTATTTATGGGTGGGTAAACCTATCTGTAGTGTTTGTGCTAAAAAAGCGAGCTGTAGAATAAGGAAGGAAGGAATTGAGGAAAATCTTCAATGAATTACACTTAAATTCTCTGGAAATATGACCTATATAATGCGTTCTATATAAATATATCCATTTTTAAGTCTCTGTAATCAATTTGTGAGTGTCACCATCTCTCCCATTCCATTCCATAGCATACCAGTGGTTTGTTCATTAGCCTTTTATTGAAAATAAGCGTGCCCAAACGTGTGTAATGTCAGGAGAGAATATACATGTATATATAGTAGATTCCTAAAAAAATTTCATGGACAATCTATCGTGTCTATGAAATGTGGCATCGAGTGTAATGTAATGAATGATATTTTTAAACTATTGATAATGTGCTTTACTAACCAAAGCAATGCTAACACTGGTATACTATCTCCCAGCAGAGGCATCTTCACCACACCTGTTGCAAGGCCTGTTTCTTTAGAGCACGCAAAGGTTTTTGTGAATATGTACTACACGTGCTTATAGAATGATTTGTGTATGTTGTTTACAGTTGTATTCAGGCAGTCATATGTACAAAACGGTGCAACAGTACAAGTGCTATGTTCATTCAGACTATCAGTTTGTTTTATTTACTTGTCAAAATTTGTAATTACATTCAGCTGAGTTTTCTCTCAAATATTTGTCTCTTATTCTCTCAGTATTACTCATTTGCCAAGTTTTCAATAGGTTTAATGTTGTTCATTATTTAGAGATCTCAAATTTGCGATTTAGTGGAAGATTGAGCTTCCTGGCTCATTCTGGCGATTCTCTAACAAAGCTTCTCCGAGTGAATGCGAGTCATTTCACTGGTGATAAATCTTTTCTCCAGTGTGTACAGTGTTCGGTTTGTGTAAGCCTATATAAATATACTGCAGACATCTTTGTCGAAAGTTAGTGTGTACGCCTTCTTCAGTTATTGCTCTCTAAGTACCACCAGGCCCTTCTTTTGGTGAACGTAAGTGGCAAGCTTCGCCGGATTAAACTGCTGCCGAGTGTCTACGCATTACAGTTAATGTACAATTTTAACAACATAATGTTGCGTTGACAGATATTGGGCATTCTGACAACCAGACATGCTGTAACGGCTTACGTGGCGTGTGCGTAACGCATCGGTTGCTGACCGATTGGTGGGGGGGGGGGGGTTCAGCCTGGTTGGTAAAGCCCGGCGCACACGTGGCGATTTTTATCGACAGTACCGGCGATTTTTATCGACAGCACTGTCGATAAAAATCGCCACGTGTGCGCCACCCGGCGACAATGCAACCATCTGTCAGCGACATACCACTGTATGAACTGTACATGACCTGTTCAAACCACACCACGGGCACTGCCATAATTTTGATCACGTGCTTCAAATCATGCATTTGATTGGTTAATCCAAAAACTGTTGCCGGGATCCGTCGCCAGTGCGGCGCACACGTGGCGATTGTTCAGCGACTGGGCAACAAATATCTAACATGTTTGATATTCCAGCGACGAGTTTCTGGCGTCAAAATCGGTGACGCCGGGCAGCGCACACGTGGCGATTTCTCGGCGATTTTGTTGCTGACAACAGAATCGCCGGTACTGTCGATAAAAATCGCCACGTGTGCGCCGGGCTTAAAGCTGAGGCAATGATTAGGCTGGCTCACGTGCTTGCTGATGGCACGAATTTGTGAATGGGTGGCAACTCCAAGAAATTACCAAGTATTGCAGCATGACGTCATCCAGAGAATATGCAACACTGATACGTCGTAGGACGTTATAGTAATAGTGCTGGAGGTGGTTCACCTGGGAGCTCGCACACGCCATCTGCTGAGAATGCAAGTTATGCGTTTCAGTGGAGTCGCTACGCCAAGTTACTGCTGCGGCATTAGGTGTTGTTGAGCAAGGGCGACCAGTGTCTGGCTTCTTCTGTGGCTAATCTTGCTCTCAGAAGTTACGGTTGGAACAGGGGTGGTCGTTATGACAAAGCAATTCAAAAGTAATGAGAAATGAAGAAATAAATCCCTTCCTTCCTACCGCACTCTCTCTCCCACCCATTATCTGCCGGGTGTGTGTGCGTGCGTTCGTGCGTTACAAGTGTATTGGATATGCCGGCCCGATACTCGACGATTACTTGTCTAGACGTGGTTTTAGTCTTGGCGCGTCGGACGACTATATTACTCACAATCCACTACTGTTTTTCGTCTATGCACTACTATCTATATAATGTTACCAAGCTAGTGAGTGAGAGAAGGCTGATGTACATTAAATTTTTACTAGCGTGTCAATTACCGTCATATCTACTGTGCAGTATGTCGTCTGACATCATCACGCGTCACCTCTGACGTCTAAGCATGTGCACTACTATACCTATGTCATCTGGGGATACTTATGGAACATGCGTATGCAGAATATGTATAACAAATAGTGGTAATCTGGTTATATCTGAACGTTTCACATAGTTTGTATGTACTATGGCCTAATAAATTGCCAGTAATGAGTTTTCACCAGAAGTTAATGCCCGATGTCAGCGGACAATGAAAAATATTAAACTTGTAAGACTGCGTGGTTATGGAATGAATGATCATAAACACATCCAATGCTACCAGAAAAAAAGTTGATAGGGCAAGAAAATAAATAGACGAATTCAAACATTTTACTCAACTAAATTTTTAAACAGATATATTACATAAATTATATTATATTTTTCACTTTACACTACACTGCTTTTGTGGCAAATTCGCATTTGCATTCAATGAACTAGCGAACGCACACCTTAATATCAGGAGTCTATCAATATTGATAGGCTCCTGTTAATATGACAGCTAAAGTAACATCAAACATGGAATAAAATAATATAGAAGAATTTATACCTAATACACTATAAAGTGATCAGAAAGGCAGGTTTTTATAGAGAAATTGATAAATGTGTAACAACAAAATAAACAATGTGTATGATAATGTAAACAACATGCCTGTTTTAATTACATCGTGCACGCTAGTCTCACGTTCTTCTAAACTACACACTCCGACACACAATATCCCATCAAACTATCATTTTAGTCAGGTTTCATTGAACATGGACGTGCACAATCCCGTGCATAATTATGGTTAAATATCATGGTTATAATGTCACATTATGGAACAATTAAATGTGATCTAATTTTCAATATTCATCGTGATTGACCAGTTTAACTGCATATGTTATCACTGAAACATGCAGTTTAAACGTTTGTTTCCCGTGAATATAGTTTCAGAGAAGGTGATTACTGCCTGCATTAGTTTATATAAGACTAGATAGCCACAATCATATTGAGCTACATGTAGTGAGATCGTGCTATGAAAAGCTTATAGTATGGTGTTTGGCCACAATGAAAAGCAGTGGTAAATACGTGAAAATATGACGTGTAAACATGGCAATTGGACGGAATGAATATACAACCATCAATAAAAATAATGTGCAACATGTCCTGCAGAGCTGGGGTATTCCAGCATATTCAAAGATCATACTAGTGGCTCAATTCTATCTAGAATCTATCAACCAAATAAATATACAACCATCAACAACAATAATGGGGAACATCTGTCCTGCGGAGCATTCCAGGGTATTCCATCACATTCAGAGATCAGATTAGTTTGATCCATCTTATTTGGTAGTGAAGCATATGACCTCAGCCAGGTCACAACCGGTTACACAGAAGCTCGTGCCATCAGGGTGTGTGAATGCTGCTCCACACAACAGCACATTCTGTACACACTCACTTGATAGATGTTCTATCTAAAACATTAAAATTAATCTGCATCAGGTAATATATCATTTAAATATAAGCAATATTAGAAAACAAGTGCCGCAGAGCGACAGCGCTCAACTGAGCAACAGCGTGTACTGTAGCCGGGTATTCTTCTGATAAACTCACTGGGAACCGAATCAAGTGCGCCCTCCCGCCACCGCGTTTGCGCCCAGAGCATATATCTAGGATACTACTAATACAGATGTAAAATATATGATAGGCTTTGCTATACCAGTAGTACAGTAATAAAGATACAGCTGTGTAACTTTAATGACTTCACTATATTAACATGTTATCATGGATATGCGTTGAGCTCGAGCGTAGTGGTGGTGGTGGGAGGGTGATGGGGGAGAGGGAGGGAGAAAGAGAGGGGGAGGGGAAGGGGGGGAATGGGTTCTAATAGTAAATGCAGTTCAGTCCTTCAGTCACTTCAGTCTGACCATTAGGCCATGTCCTCAGAAAATGTCTGATATGTGACCTTTCCCCCACTGCCCTCTGACCTCCAATTTGGCACTGGTGATGGGTTTCCTGCCCATCACACTATACACCGAATATTAAGAGCATAGGTCAAGCCGTTTAGATTTGTGTCGCAATTCTGCATTTCCTCCCTATACCTTAAGTTAAGGAGGGAATGTTCCCCCTTCTTTTACACCTCTTGACCTTTGACCTTTGATCCCCAGCGTCGACATCCCAACTCGTTTTCGGATTACCCCCCCCCCCATGTCCCGACTTTCGAATCCGTACATCGAGCCATTTAGATTTGTGCCCAACTGTTGACGGATGGACGCACGCACGCACGCACGCACGGACAATCATGTGATTCTACAAGCTGCATCAGACTATGTCAGATGAGCTAAAAATTGATATTTTGGCATGAGCGTTATTATGGTATACATTCAATATCTCTTACTGGAACTCCAACTTAGGTTATTAAAATTATTGCCACACCCATGATCTACATCTAATTACAAAAGATTCCATTACATAAATTTTATTGTGCTACAATACCCCTAGTACCGTCACTCCCTGGACACCCCACCCACATGCTCCAGACAATTACAATTGCTGATGTTAGTTTTATCTATTTTTGAGATTATTATATAAAACACAATTCCTTGAAGAAAATCATTTGAAGGAAAAATGTCAAATACTATCATATTACTTTTCTTGTATTTATTAGCTCATCTGACATAGTCAGATGCAGCTTGTAGAATCGCATGAGCGTGCGTCCGGCCGTCCGTCTGGCCGTCCGTCCGCAGTGGAGCACGAATCTAAACGGCTACAGACGTGAGGGCGATTCAAAAGTCAGGGACGTAGGGTGTAATTCCGAAAAACGAGTTGGATGACGAAGCTGGGGTGTCAAAGGTTCAGAGAGTGTAAAAGAAGGGAACATTCCCTCTGAACTTAAGTATAGGAGGAAATGCAGAATTGCGGCACAAAGTCTAATGGCTCGACCTAGGCTCGTGATATGTCTGGTGATATAGCATCATGGAGGAAAAGCCATCACAGTTGCGAAAGTGTGAGTGCACAGGTCAAAGATTCAATGGCGAGGCACAAGGCAGATTTTAGACATTTTCTGAGACATGTCTGACGAGACCGATTGAAAAACTTTTTTTCAGCGGTGACTACCATTTTTATTGGCCTTTATTGAAAGCGACGCATTGAATGTACTTTCCGCTGACATTGCGAAAGTAAGTGTGCTGGATAATCTTTTTGCCCTCAGAGAGGGTTAAATTATTTTGCTTGATGGGTGCCTAACAAAGGACTGAACTGCTTGTTGCTATATTAAGTCCCATACCGTGTGTGAATTGTGAGGCTACAGTAATTGCCACAGTTGAATTTGGCCAAGGCAAATGTTGTTGAACAAAGTTTACTGCTACTAAATCATATTATTTCTAAAGCAGTCGTTCATAGCACCCTGAAGGCTGAACATGGTGAGATGCTCTGTGGTGTAGGCAAAAAACACGGGGCAGCCCATGGTGGCACGCTTGCCTAATCAGTATTGTTGCCCTGCCAACCTGCAATGCACATGTGTCTGGCAAGTGCATATAGATTTCGGTGGGTGCGAAAAGGTTAGTGATATTTTCTATTATTCTTATTGATTTGATTATTTAATTAATATAATAAATGAATGAATAATTTTTGAGTATATTAGTGATCGTTTCAATTGCGCTACGGACAAGTCAAACAAGAATAAGGAAGACTGTATGGTATAAGACATCTTGCTATGCACAAGATGAACTTTAGTCACGCAAAGCACCAGACACCAGATGAGCCCTGTCGCACTGCGGCACTTGTTCATAATCGTTCTGAGTAAAGATCTCAATGTAAAATACTCAGAAATAATAAATCATATAAGATATAAAGATAACAACCAAAAATTCACATCTACAACATATAGTGCCTGTTTACATTTCAACACATCAAAGAACTGCCAGATTCTGGGACGGTAAGCACCATTTGCCGGCACATCATGGTTTTATCTCTCGATATGGTTGTTTGTATGACTAAATCCACTTTCCACATTCCACATGTCATGAGCAAAGCGTGGTGCATGATCACCATGACACTGCTCTTGACCCATGTATTTGTACTCAATCTAGCCCACTAGTGAGGCTCATAGGGTCTATGTCCCCCAGGGTACTGCCGAAACGTACCCTGGGTACGGTCCTGTATACCAGAACGTACCCTGGTAACTATCTAGCTGATATGGTTAGGGTTAGGGTTAGGGAGTAGGCGTAGGCGACTCCCTAGACTCGTTAGTGGAGTAGGCGACTCCCTAGACTCGTTAGTGGAGTAGGCGACTCCCTAGACTCATTAGTGGAGTAGGCGAGGTACGGTCCGGCATATTAGATAGTAGTATTTAGTACCAGGGTACGTTCCGGTATACCGGACCGTACCCAGGTTACGTTCCAGCAGTACCCTGGGGGACATAGACCCTATCAGCACTACTGACTGGGCCTACTCGGGCATAGAGCCAGCCAGGCCCTCAAACGCCTGCCACAACACCATGAAGAGGGACAAAAGTGATGGCTGCCAACATGCAGGCTAAGATCAGCATTGACCAGTTACTCTCTCTGTAGACAAACACTCTGGACTTTACGATAGACGGCCTGAGAGAGGTGGTGGCTGCACTAACATTTGTGTTAACCCCAATTCTCAAAAGATAAATAATAAAGAAATATTACAGAATGAAAAATAAATAATTACAGGAGGTAATTGTCTGAAAATAATCGCCTGAGGGGGATGTTTGTCCAGAGGGTTGACTGCCGGTCTGGTGGTTGACTGCCCAGGATGTACTTGCCCTGATATCCATAAATTCAACCAAGAAATCCTTTCAAATAATCCTCACAAAGACACTTGCTAATGACATATATACATAGACTCACGAAATGAACAACGATATCAATCAAACAACAGCAACACAATAACAATATCGCTACCCACCTCTGGAGCATCACCTTCTTTCAGCTGCCATATTTTAGCAAATGAGTCCTCACTCACAGTCAACACCTGTAACACACCAGTATTAAGAAAAACGAACAGATATATACAATTGAGCAAGTAAGACTCTCGACAAACCTCATGTATAAAAACTACAGCAATAGAAAGTCGCATATTCCCTCATCTACTTCATATATGTTCGATGGAAACACATTAACAAGTTGGTTAAATAAAATTACTAGGTGACTGCAATTTTCCAAATAATAAATCTAATGACCTATTGACACCTGACATGCTTAAGTTAACAGGCAGTAGTAACCTGTTGGGATATGTTCTAAAAAACAATGTTTGGTAATAAAGTACAACAAAGTTGACATTTAAACATGCAGTTTAACTGAACTAGCACCAATATTCAAGGGTGTGTCGTTATCAGGCTCAGATGGATAGGTTAAGTAATCACAAGTGCAGAAACCATTGCTGTAGTAACTAAACATAGATGCTTTATGATTCTGCCAACTAATTATTTGCTGAAATAGACATACATCATGTCCTACTCGGCCTTGCGAATTCCTTTATTTATTTCATTTCATTTTGTTGTAATCATCACATGACACATCTCATCTTGAAATATTTAAAATTGAAATCTAAATTATTTTTAAAACAAGACAATGCAATATCTAAGATCTTTCTAAGCATATTTCACATAATAAAAACTTGTTCTGAAATATCCACTTACCATTCCATTTCGATGAACCACATCTATAGCATTTATCCATCTGGCATGTGCAGTCACCTCTGCACACATGTGACCCGAAATTACCTTGAACAGACGTATGTGACCAGATCCATATGTAGCAACCAGTAGCTCATTCCATAATCGCACACCAGAACATGGGCTCCTGTACAGAAATAATGGAAGAACAACATTTTACTCTGTGATACTTCCCTTTTCCTTTTGGGTAAATGGCAGGGGTCGAAATAACTGATGGTCCGATGGTCCGCGGCCATCAGATTTTCAGTCAATGGTCCGACGAACCATTGAATATTTTGGTCCCATTTTACGGTAATTTTCTTTGAAGTTTCCACGTTCCAATATACTTTAAAGTGAATAAACAATTACTGTATCGTTTGATACATTCATTGTAATGTAGGTGAATAATTAAACCATTTTATCACCATGTAAAATCTCTTTCTTACGCTTGCACGCCGCATTACTTTTAGAGAACAATTTCAAATTTAGGAGGACCATCTAAATTTCAAACTAGATGGTCCTGTGGACCATCTCTTTTTTATTCCTTATTTCTACCCCTGAATGGTATATTATGAATTATATAACGTCAGCTCAATTTCGTTTGTTTTCAAAGAATAACATTTTAATTTTGATTTTTTTTTATTGCATAAAAATAAGAAAATAATCCAAATAAACATAGCATATGCAAAACATTTCGTAATTCATGGGATTGTCCAATTTAACAAACATACTTGACTACAGGTCAATCATTCAAATGGTTTCGGCACATAGAAATTTTGCATCTTTTAACAAAAAGCTTTAGAATTAGATAATATTAAATCCAATTGAACAACTTTAAGTCATATAGCCACTAAACTGTCTTATTACATTACATTTAAATTACATAAAGGTTCTATTTTCTTTATATAGTGTGTATAGTTACCCAAGTCCATCTATTCTTTTGTATGGGTGGAGTTGAGATTCTTCCACACGCCACAATATGATGCATCCAGAATCATCCCCACTGGCTAAAACTAAGCCATGACTGTGCAGGCAACTAATAGGTAATACGTGTTCTTTCAGGGATTCCTTCAGCAAAATATTTGTTCCTTTTGGTGGGATCTCAAATACCAGAATTGTGCCACTGTCTGTACCTGTAATTCACACACATTTGATTAGAGAATATTGCATGGCCGACAGAAGAACGTGAATAATATACATATAGGTATAATAAATATAAAATAGTTTTTAATATAGCTGACAAGCATGCATACCACTCATAGACAGCTAGTGAATGTAAATGGTCCCATTAAACTGGAATACCAAATTGAAGTGCTCAGACTATAAAGTAAATGGGTGGGTGGTAATATATCTTAGATAAATACATAACATGAAATGTGTCACTTTACACTAACCACTACTTGCTGGGCACTGTTCTGTACAGTACTAGCTTAAATGCTATAAGCTCAACACTGCTATGGTTAGGCTTACCAATGCAAAGCATCGAATCTTGTAATGTGCAGATACCTCTGGCATAGGCTTTTGACACTATAAAAAACAACATTAAATTTTCCTCTTTAACTTTAATAAAGATTTTTAATATATGCTTTTTAATACAATAACAGCAAAAGTAAAAAGGGAAAACTGATGCCAAATAAACATCAGACCACTGTACTTTAGACAAATGGACTTTCAATCAATTTGATGATAACTTAGAGAAATATTGAGATGCACAAAACATTCCATCATAAACTTATTAACCTTGTGCCACTTGGTAAACTTTTTTTCTATTTGCAGCCAACATTACAGTACCAAAGACTTGTATTGGTTAAAAAGGGTGATTAGTTTATGTTATGAGATAACATAAAAGATACGAGGGCCAGAAAATGTGATATAGGTGACCAAATATCACTAACATTAAAATTATTTGGATTAAAATTAAAAATTACTGCAAGTCTAAACAAGTGCCGCAGAGCGACAGCGCTCAACTGACGTGTACTGTAGCCGAGTACTCTCCTGATAAACTCACTGGCAACCGAATCAAGTGCGCCCTCCCGCCACCGCGTTGATAGGCTTTGCTATACCGGTACTAGTACAGTAATAAAGATATAGCTGTGTAACTTTAATGACTTCGCTATATTAACGTTATCATGGATATGCGTCGAGCGCGAGCGTAGTGGTGGTGGTGCGGGGAGGGTGGTGGGAGGGGAGGGTGGAGGGAAGGGCGGGTGGAGAAGGCTTTAATAGCAAAAGCAGTTCAGTCCTTTGTTAATAGTAAACAAATCCACGCGATTCTACAAGCTGCATCTGACTTCGTTAGCTGAGCTAAAAATGTAGCATCATTACCTCACAATCCTATTTATACATTTACCTTCATTTGACTCAGGGTTTACCAAAGAGTGCCAATACAACATCACTGAGCCATCTGACTCATATATCTGAAAATATATTGTAACATTTAACCTCTTCCTATTTTAATACAAGTAAGAAATTAAACTTTGTATTTTGTTAAGATATAGCATCTAAACCAAAGTAGTGACTGTGAATAAGAATAAGCTAGTAGTATTGTGACAAATGGAATGACACCCGTTTAAATTCAGGAGTAATCTCCTAATTTTATTGAAGATATATTCTGTAATAACAATAACAGACAATTTAAAATGTGATAAATAATAAGTACGTTGGCAGAACAAATATGCTGTATCTCTGTATTCTGTATCTCATAACCGCATAACCTCATGATTAGTCCTCTACGTCCAAGGGACTGTCACTATATTGAAGAGAGAGAAAGAGAGAGAGAGAGAGAGAGAGAGAGAGAGAGAGAGAGAGAGAGAAAGAGAGAGAGAGAAATGTGATCAACAGACAGATCATCACGGCAAATTCAGTAAAAAAAACCTAATTGACATACAAGGAGTGAATAAAACAAACAGACATGCCTACCACATTTACATACAATTGAAAACACTTTCAGTTTAAAACTTATTGAAAATCAAATATAGAGGTAACTGCTCAGCATTGCATGGGCACAACTTACCTGTATGCCTCGCTGACAAGCCATCACCATTAGACTTCGTTCAGGAAACTCACAATACTTCATCTAAATAAAAAAGTGGAGGATAATAATAGGTCAAATATTGAAATATATAACCTAGGTAAGAGTTAGCTCCAAGAAACGGTCTTGCTAGGGTTAGAAGACAATCAGTCGCACAGCCTCGTCTAGATACAATAATGTAACCCAACAAACCCCATAAATGTAACCCAGCAAACCCCACAAATGTAACCCAACAACCCTACTCTTATTTATTGTGTCTAAGCCTCGTCGGGCTAGGTAAGACTAAGACTCAGAGTGAGTGGTACATGTAATCTGCAATATGATTATCTATAAATTCCACAAATCACGTCTCATAAGGCCAAAACAAAATATATGTGTGGTTACCGTTACATGCTGAAAAAAAATAGGGTAGGTAGGTAGGGAAAACATTTTATTTTCTTGAAATATTTTATTTACAAACCATGTCCGAAGGATGTGCGTTGTGCCTTTTGAAGCAGGAACTGAAAAAAATTTTAATTTAAAAAAAAATTTTAATTTTAAAAAATGAATAAAATGTTTAGGGTCGCTGGGAATAAATAGGGTCGGTCGGGAAACCGTAACCACACCTATATTTTCTTTTGGCCTAAAGTTATGTGGTTCAAGGATAGAGAACATGGGTCCCATTGAGACCTGTCATTTTCGTAAAGCCATGGCGATGATTTTGGGTCATATGAGTCCATGATGATGTATAGCAATAATGCCAATATGGGCCCCAAAGATATAACAGCTGTCGACATTTGTGACATTGAAACCGGATTTGACTCCCAAAGAGAGCGAGAGGACAAGAGTCTTAGTGGCAGAGATAGAAGAAAGAAGAGGCAAAGGGGAGCAGGATCTGGTATTAAGGTTCGGACAGATTGTCAAACTAAAGAAGGAACGTGGGAAACCAGGCCTGAGACAATACTAGGGGGAGATAGAGGGGATATTGTTGTAAATAGTGGTACAGGAGCACCTATTTCTATTTCAAATTTCTACACAAATACACAAAGCATTGTAAATAAGTTAGATGAATTTGAAGCCCTAATAGACGAACTGAAACCAGACATTATTGGTATCACAGAGACGTGGGCAAATGAGAACACTCCAGACAGTTTGTTCACCCTAAGAGGGTATGATCTTTTCAGAAAAGATCGAGTAGGAGCACAGGGAGGAGGAGTACTATTACTGGTCCAAAACGATCTCCAAGCATCGACCTGTCCAAGACTAGAGGTTAGCGAGTTTGCTGAATCAATATGGTGTGAAATCCAACTAACTGGAGAGGATGTTTTACTCATAGGAGTGTGTTATCGATCACTAGTCTAGCTAGTACACAGGAGAACAATGAAGAATTGATTGATCTATTTTCTAAGGTAGCGAGTGGACAGGAGACGCATGTTCTGATTATTGGTGACTTTAATATACCCGAGGTTGATTATGTGAACTATTGCACCAGTTGCAGCCCACTGTCATTCCACAGTAGGTTCCTCGACAAGACACAGAACATGTTTCTATTGCAACATGTGATGGTACCGACAAGATATAGAGAAGGTCACGAGCCATCTAAACTTGATCTGATCTTCACAAATGATGAGAATATGATCGAGGAAGTGAGTTGTTTGGCACCCATCGGAAAGAGCGATCACATTGGACTAGCATGGACGACCATAACACACCTGGACCCAAACAGCCTGAAACACAAGTACGAAAGCCGAAACTACTGGAAAGGAGATTATATATCTTTAAACACAGAAATTAAAGCCACTGATTAGAAGACAGTATTGGGAGGTTTGGACACCAACACTCAACAGTGCTTGGCAGGAGTTGGAGCAAAAAATTGAAGACCTTAGTAAGAGGAATGTACCAGAGAAGAGACCACCAAATAAGAACCAGAGACCAAGATGGCTGACCAAGCCTGTTCGAAAAGCAATATAGAAGAAGAGGAAATTTTACTTAAAGTACTGTAGACTAGGCAGAGAAAAAGATTATGCCAATTATGTTAAACAGAGAAACATCACTTCCAACTTGTGTAACGATGCCAAGAAAAATTATGAGCGAGGTCTTGTTGATGTATTCAAGAGCAACCCCAAGAAGTTTTATGGATACGTGCGCGAGAAACAGAAGGTCAAAGCTGGAATAACTCGACTAGCCAAAAGAGAAGGTACATGTTAACAGACAACGACCAAGAAGCAGCATCATTACTGAACAACTATTTTAAGTCGGTGTTTGTAACGGAGCCAGAGGGTAACATCCCAAATTTTGTAGATAGAGTGCAACCTGGTACAAGCTTGGACAGTATTGAGATTACAGCTGCACAAGTGGAAAAGAAGCTGAGAGAACTGAAGCCAGGCAAGTCACCAGGACCTGATGGAATACACCGGAAACTGCTAAAAGAATATGCTGATGGACTTGCATTGCCACTCACATTAATATTAAAAAAATCCTTGTACAGGAAAGAACCCTACCAACAACATGGAAAAAAGCGCAGGTTTCTCCCATCTTCAAAAAAGGGAGTAGGACGGCTGCTGAGAACTACAGACCAGTTTCACTGACATGTGTGTGTTGTAAGGTCATGGAATCACTATTGCGTGATGAAGTAGTAAAATTCATGGATGAGAACAAATTGTTTACAGAACACCAACATGGATTTACGTCGAGGAGGAGCTGTCTGACTAATCTCCTAGAGACATTTGAAGCTTGGAGTAAGGCCATTGACAATTGTAATTGCATCGACACCATCTTTTTAGACTATCAGAAAGCATTTGACACGGTTCCGCACATGAGGCTATTGAAGAAATTGAAAGCGTATGGTATAAGAGGAACACTCATAAACTGGATTGAAAGCTTTCTTGTGGGGCGCCAGATGAAGGTGAGCGTTCGAGGACTGTACTCGGAATGGTGCTCAGTAGATAGCGGGGTTCCGCAAGGATCGGTCCTAGAACCACTACTGTTCCTGGTATATGAAAATGATATCCCGAACATAATAATTTGTGATATGAAAATGTTTGCGGATGATACAAAAATTTGGAAATCTATATCGACAACAACGAACTGCATGCTACTGCAGCATGACCTAAATATGTGTGATTGGTCAAGGAATTGGCTATTAAAGTTTCACGTCGGGAAGTGCAAACGGATGCATTTAGGAGGAAATAACGAACAGTTTGAATACTCAATGACCGATGAGGCTGGGACAAGAACAGTGTTAGATGAGATCATGAAGAAAGACCTTGGGATATGGATAAACAGCGACCTGAAACCCACTCTACAGTGTACCAGAGCAGCGAATAAAGCGATGGGGGTACTGAGATCGATCAAGAAAACATTCAAGTATGTTGATAAAAGGTGTTTCCTTATCCTGTACAAGACGTTCATCAGACCCCACCTAGAGTACTGTGTGCAAGCCTGGTCACCCTACTATAAGAAATATATGGACCTGTTAGAAAAAGTGCAAAGGAGGGCAACCAAGCTAGTCCACTCTATACGTAACCTGGAATACGAGAAGAGACCGGAAATCCTAGGTCTATATTCACTGGAACAGAGGAGAGAGAGGGGAGACCTGATCAAAACTTGCAAAATTTTAACAGACAAAGAAAACATAAATAGCAACCAATCCTTCACACTGGCAACCGGAACCACCAGGGAGTAATCCCTGAAACTATTCAAAAAAATATATCCAGGACTGCAATTGGCGACAGCACTTCTTCCCAGCAAAGATGTGGTAAAATGCGTGGAACGCACTGCCAACATTTGTTTTAGTCGAGGCCAAAGAACGGTCACTGCACATATTAAAACAAACTAAGACTTACATTGGACAACGATATGGGCACAGGCCTTGAAAGCGATGATTCAAATAAAAAAATATAAATTAGAAAACTAACTAACTACTGACAAAAATTACTTAATAGTTTCAGGGACTTGCAAAAACTAAACGAACCAGTGCAAAACGCGCCGAGCTAGTAGAAATCAGTAAAGGACAAGGCTAGTAAAATGTCTGGTATGGACCAGCCACCTGTTGCGCGAGGGGAATTTTTATATTTGATAATGGCACGCCCGTTTCATTTTACATAACAGGGCCAGGGTTAGCACATCTACGCTCGAACACACGTACATGGTACTAAGAGCGCGATTGGTCGGGCTTCCTTTGATACAAGAGTATAAATCACGTGGTTTAAGACAACACCAATGTTTCGTGTTATTAACACAAATGTTTGGTGAACACAATGTTTTCTTGTCAATTTTCACACTAATTTTGACTGCATCTGTGAACATTAGACACGGAAGTGATTAGTAATGTTTAGTAATGTTAGTTAAACTTAATGTAGTGTTCCATGCAAATAAATGTTCATGCAATTTTAGAATTAAATATATATTATTAGCGTCATTTGATCCCAGCATAGTACAACATGTACCAATATTTATTATACATTCATAATAATCAAGAAGCAGATAAAGAAGGACTTCTTTATCATTTATCTAGTAAAAGAAAGACTATCTTTATTGCTGCTACGTTTGATATTAATGAGTCTGAAACAAGGCGAACCATCGGCCAGATGTCTGCTGTCACTGACGAATACGGACAAAATGGTACCATGATCATAGGCCTTTTGCTTTACAGCACTGAGCATTCAAACAGTGCACAGCAGGCGCATGCAGCCACTGGTGTTAAAATCAATATGACGAGACAACCGAAGACTCTTGAGGGACAACATATGCTCACTCTCTTGGTTGTCCTCCGGACAAAGCCCGAAAAAACACGCTTAAAATTGAAACACTGGGTATAATATATCAAGAGCTAGATATACACCTTCACGAGTGAATACAAATGGAAAAACATGGGAATAGTGCATATTTCATGGCATTATATTCTACTTGGAGGCCTGGTTAAGTAGGAGGCAAATTAGAATTAACGCTCCAATAATCTCGGGCCTAGAGTATCGTAGAACAACAATCGGTTAGTGTCTATGATTTTAGAGAGAAAAGGATGCTGATTAACGACAAAAATACCATTGACATTAGATCTAGAACCGCATACAAAGACTAGAATAATATTTGCCGTGAAAATGGCCGCCTTTTTCCCGATGTACACTCCATAGACGATATTATAGTTCTAGCTACTTGATAATATAATATATATATATATGTATATTAATATATATAATATATATATAATATATATTAATATATATACTGAATATATGCTGAATCAAATTATTCACAGTCAATTTCGCGAATGCCATCTCGGAAGCGTCTAAAATCAAAACCCAGATCCACCCACCTCCACCGGCAAATGGCAAAATTTTACTCCACTGGTAGCGGCCTCAGCGCCGGCACCTTAAGTAAAGTAAAGGGGTGGAGATATGGGTTAAGCGGCTAGTAGATTTTAACAGTCACTAGCCCTGACTGGCTAGTGAACATTTTAGGTTAGTTTCAAGCCCTGTGTTTCTATACTTCTCTTTACTATTATTGCCGACAGTTTCCTGTAAATTCCGTCCAAATCACCTATCGTCCAACATGCGCAAGCGGCGACGCAGGGCACTGCTCTCGCAGCATGCACGCTTGTACCCATTACAACTATATAATATATATAGTATATAGCAGGTAGGAAAGCGTTAGATCGACAATTCGACTCGACGCTCGCTTGAAATTTCACACTTTCACAAGCACGATCACATCCAACGCTTCCATCTTTAGTTTCTTTTTCAAAGACAGTGATTCAACATTGTTTTAAAAACATATTTGTCGGCTGTTCGTAACCGAGCTGATAGTCACGCTCGAAATCACACAGACTGAAATTTTCCGCAGTTCGGCTAACGTGACACCACAGTAAATGTAATGGCAATGGTAAGAATGCGGAAACACGCACCAGCGCGCGGCTTTCGTGACCTCAATTTCTTGCGCCGCCAACGGCACTGCAACGTTTTTTGCAAACGCATCCAATTGGCCGGGACTCGTACGGGCAGTTGGGAAGCAGATGCCGCGCCTGCGTGCAGCCTTAGCCCTAGACTGGCACTCAGCTCCCACACCTCTCGGCTTAGCTTAGTTACTCGATGGCGTAATCGAGGTGGGAGCGAGTACCAGTCATAACTAATCGGCCCAGTACTTGCAAGCATTACAATTTAATGGCAAGAAGCTTAGCGAACGCAAGAAATTTCGTTCAGTCTTGTTAACTTCGAGTGAACAGCTCAGGTTAAACGAACAAGACAGTAATGTTTTGATATAACAAAAGTGACACTGTTCTATCGAAATGAGATAACAAAAGATGGAAGCTGTTGGAATGTGTCATTCGTGACTGTGAGTGTGGAAAATCAAGAGCGAACAGCGATCGAAAACTGCGAATTTTGCAGATCACGCTTTCCAACAGGCTATATATATAAGTGTAAGCGTGCAACGTGCGGACCGGCGAGCGGTTCAAGGATAGAAGAAACATGAGGTCCAATAAAACCAAGATGTCATTGGTACATCAATATATAAAGTTAATATTATGATCAATTAAATTAGGTATAGGGTTAGAGGTTGGGATTTAGGCGTTTAGGGTGAAGGCCCACAGTGGTTTTTAGAGAGTGTCAAACAAGCCGGATCCCGGTTTCGGTATACCTATGAAAACTAAAACAATCTCTTCTTTCTCTGATTGCCGCTTATTATACAAATGTCACTTATTTCTTTTATTATTATTTTTGAGCTAATTTATATTTTATTATAGGAATTAGGGTTATAGGATATTGTATAGCGGTATAGGGTTTGGATATAGGGTTGGGTAGGTATAGAGGTGGAGGGTTAGGGCTGGTATATAGCATCTAATTCTTCAAAGTTCGGTTGCAGTAGGCCTCAACAGATAGAGAGGTTCGCTTCGTAGAAGTGACCGGTACCGTAAGTTCGACCCCATAAGGTGTTTTTATTTTCCTCTGCTTCTGTATGTCTTTAGAATTTTATTTGTTTCTGCAATTTATTTGTATCGTATTCTTTGTTTGTTTCTGTAACTTTTGTTTATGTTCGGAATTAACTCAATTATTTCGTTATGTTTATGCATAATAAAAATTATATTTGATCCTGATTATGTTCAGGAAAACTGACAAATCAGAGAAGAGAGGCGATTGTTTAGTTATTCAGGCCTCCGAAACGGTCCGCCGTCGTTTAGACACACTGTGTGTGTGGTGAGTGGTGGAGACCCATGTTCTCTATCCTTGGGCCGCCGCGAGAGCAATGGCCGCCGGCCGCTCAAATGTTGGACATAGGATTTGGACGAATTTTACAGGGAAACTGTCGGCAATAATAGTTGAAGAGAGTATAGAAACATTAAAGAAATTTGGTAGTAAATATATTTCGTATTTAGTTAGCAATTAACCATTATATTTTTATTGAAACGCTTCAAGTGCCTGTGCCTGTGGATATGGAGATAATAATAGGCCAGGCCTGAAACTCACACCCAATCTAACCTTAGGCTAACCATAACCCTAACCCGAGCAGGCCTGTGTGACTGACGTCAATATACACAGTGAGTCGGTATTCTAACCCTAGCAATAACCGTTATTCTTGGCGCTATAACCTATTACCTAACCTAACGGCTAACCTAACATGTCGCACATTGCGAAAATGCATTGGCTTCATCTAATACATCCTTGAACCGCAATATGTACAACTGGTGTCGGTCCGCTATCAATCACCTGCATAACTATTGTACTTCCATGGCCACCCGGCTCCTTCACGATTACTTGTCGTTGCATCAAAACATTTGCGCCATCCGCAGCGATTGTTATAATATTTGCAACGGATTTGTGAACAACTCCATAGCTTTGTGTACGTTTATCATTATCTGTATACACACTAAGGTTGTGGCACAAAGCAGATGTACTTCCTTTCATGGAAAGCGATTTTTCTTTTCGATACATATCTCAATAAATCCCACTATTAGTATATAACACGCTAATACTTTCAGCTGCTGGGTCGCTACGCTAATCTTTGACAACAAAAATATTTCTAAATATTTCCGCTCAATGATTTGATTTGTATCAGTAGCGCCACCTATAAACAAATTCCATGTGTTTCTTGTAAAACATATCACATTATACATATATACATATTATACATAATTATGTGTATATATATATATATATATATTATTATATATATATATTATATATATATATATATATATTATATATTATATATATATCGTGTACGTATGTTGTAAACACGCATTACACAATGTGTTTTTTTTTAATCTGTAATAGCTACAGTAGTAAGTCTAAAGCAATATGTAATTATTTGACAAGTCTATTGTTTTTTTTCTCAAAAATTTCAATGTAGAAAATTACATACGCTCACAGAAAGTACTTAGTTTTTCAGTAGCACATAAGTAATTGGCATAAAAGAGCTTCTTTCGCTTTAGGCATGGATGATTGATTACAATTAAGGCCTTGGGGTCCATTATTAGCATGTCTATTTTGTGAGAACATTAATTGATGCAGAGTCGAGGTTTATAGTTACACGTTGTTCGTGCATCTGCTCATTGCTCATACGTCTGAACGTGTGTTTTACCCATAGGTTTTACCCATAGAAATAAGAATAGGCTAGGCCTATCTTCAATTCTAAATCTGTGGTTTTATCAAACAATTACAAGGCACGAATTAGATATTTATGTATTTATATATGTTTGCACTTATTTATTTATTTATTTATTTATTTATTTATTTATATAAATAAATAAATAAATAAATAAATAAATAAATAAATAAATAAATACATAAATAATTATACGCACATTAGTAGAAGTCTGCTTTACTTTGTGCGTGTGTATATATCATAAACTGTGTGCGCGAACACCTCGCGACGCACGCGCTGTTCTATTTTTGTTGCGTGCTTAACGACATATAACAGACATAATTACTTCAATGTAATACTGACGTCAGCGCGTGTGCTAGGACGACGTCATAATATATATATATATAATTATTTTTCAAATTCGTGCAGTGAATTGCCTAGCGCTAATTGATAACATGATCGCTATGATTTCTGATAAAAGTAAGAACCGACTTATAGCTTAGCTGCCAAAGGAATTTAGCCTTCGTAATAGACGTCTGTGTGATATGAGCTTTATACATTTATGCAAATTATGCCGTAGGCCTACATGTGAAGTTCTTTGAATGGCCAGTTACATGTTAATTTCGTTATCTTCGGCAAAATTAGAGATGATATATAATGGCTGTATTTTTCCTAATATACACGAAAAATAGAATAGATTTGTTAAGGTAGGAAAAATTTATACGTTCTCTACCAACCGAACTGTGTTTAACTAGCTAGTATCATGCGCTCGTGTTTGTCTATGCTAAGATGATATGGATATTTCCTCTGTCACGATGCGATACCGACAACATGTATTGGATAACCAACGAAGCGAACTGCATCCTGCATGGGCCCGTTGCTCGCGATAAACGACTGTTTGGTGGCAAAATGTGCGATCGAATCGCCTAATGGCACTCGGGATAACTGTCGTCAGGCAGCCAGGCGACGTATATATAGCGTGTTCGTTGTGACTGCGCTCGGTCGTACCCAGCTTCATCTCCGCCTTTAGAAACATTAGGGCTATAAATGGCCTGATTTCTAAGTTACCCACCGCTATAGCGCTGCGTTACAGGACAAATACTTAAAATAAAATTTACAGTGGCTGTTTGAACTGCGCTGAATCATTGACGAGGTGGTCGTTTCTCTGTGACAGCGCGTATTATGCTTCGCTGAACAGTGTACGACAGACAGCTGCGAATTTCTTGCTCTTGCGGTGATCAATATATACAGTAGAGCAGGGGACGGGCTGTCATAGCCGGTTGCGGTATGTAATGTGCTGAGGAAACATCGGTGCTTTGATAACGGCCATTAGGAGGAAATGGCTGACCGGGCAATGGACACCTCGACAGTGACAAAATTTCAGGGATTCATACGGTAAGGTAATTACACGCGTGAAAGCCTAGACCTCGGTCTGTGAGCGTGTACGTCTCTTCTGCAGGTCGGTGGGGTGGCTTGAATTTATGTGTTTACGAGAGCTGACGTTCAGGAGCAGGAAGCTGTATTTTGGTAAGTATTACCGCATATATTAGGGCCAACATTGATTATTAGTGGGGGCATGCATCATGAGACCATCATGCATTCAGTTACGTAATTTGCTTCCGTGGATGGATCAAGACACGGTTGCGTAGAGATTCATTTTCCATTGCAATTCGTGTCGCAATCTAAAGCCGACTCGTGGTCAGTCAACGCGTCAGCAGCGTTTAAATCATGTGTACGCGCGGTCATTAAACACGCGGACGGGGTAACGGGGTGTAACCGTGTGTCGAGATATTAAATCCTTGTGTATAAGCTTGTACACAATTATACACTGACGGAGCACATCTCCAATGCCCACTTGGGTTTGGAGAAGCGTATGTAGAAGTGCATTCGTTAACTTATACATTGTATAAGTCATACATTGTCACATTATATTCGTGCCAGGCGCCGCAAACGCATGGTGTAACAGTAGGCTTGCATGAAAATTTCAGCGTTCTGCGCAATTTTGAAGGAGAATGGTCACACTATAAAGACAACGCGCGCGTTATCGGTCCCCTGTTTATTGACTGGCCTGCAGGACTGTAGGCGGCGTCTGTTTGCGGAGGTCCTGCGAGATGCGAAAACTGCTAGCAACCGACCAGCGATTATCTGCAAATTGTCGCCCTGCGTGGGTTTCTTTCATGAATGTCAAAGTGTATTATAATTATGCGGCGCGCTATTCTCTTGGCCGTAGGCAATTGCGGTAATGAAAAGAGGCTTTCTTTCGTGCGGCATTATTGTCGTTGCTCTCCACCGGAAAGCCAATAACGCGGCACTCTTTTGTTTAGAGATAGAAGTTCAGTTTTCACGGTGTTGATAACACGGCGACAAGAAGCATAGTGAATCTATTCGGCTCAAGTTCATTACATGTCGTTGATACATGTATAATATCGTGGTGACCAACTAACGGACTGAACTGCACGCCTTTTCATGTGTATATAGCTTACCGGTATTGCTTGCAAGCGGATTTCGGGGTGGTGGGGTCTGTGTGTAGATTAGCATGTTTCCGTATAAGGACAACCCGAATTTCTCGACAGCAGCAACAGCGGCATGCAGCGCAGTCGTTTACTGACAGTGATTACGGTCTAATATATCTGCTCCTGCGACGTATTACCGGCAGACTGCAAGGCAATTAAGGCCATAATGCCCATTTTCACCGCGAAAGATAATCTCGTACAGTAGCAATATATGTCAGAATGCGAGGACTTCGTCGCCTGTCGTGTTGTGAAGATAACGTGTAGATGAGAGAGCCGATTATTGCACAACAATCATGGCTAATTTTGTTAGCATAGCACGATTTCCTGATTAATAAACTGGCTACGGTTACGACGTTGCATAAGTATACGTGTCCTCAGTTTTGCTCGAGGGAAAACAGTTCTGCCAGACATGAAAGACGCACTGTTTTGCCTATAGTGTGTGAAAGGAAAATGTTGCATTAGTCGCGAAACAAAAGTGGTCCCTTATCTCGTCCAAACTGGTGGTGTGAAGGAGTGAGCGATGCTCAAGCACATTTAAACCGTTGATATAATCTTTAGATAGTCTTAGCTTTTAGTCTCTCCCGCGTGAGTATTGTTTTGAATTCACCAATCCATATATCCTTATCGGCGTGTATTAGCTAGTATATTACTATTAAACACGTTGATGTTGGCTGTTTAGTAATTTATAGAAACAATGTTAATCGAACTCGAGAAAATGTGAGTTGTTATCAAGAGTAACATAATATATATGCACAAACGCACGTACGCACAAACGCACGTATACAAACGCGCGCCTATACATACAACCGCTCCATCCATCTATGAGTCATATATACTCTTCTCTATCCATTTGTAAACCAAATTCCCGGCTCTATCGATCTATATGCCACGCTCAGCTTGTGTTGTATCCCTTTTAAGCACACAGCCTATGTTTTTACAAGTCACAAGTCAAATTTGTATATATGTGACTTGTAAAAACACTTGTAAATAATATTATTGTGTTGTTGTTGTTGTTGGACAGATACACAGATAGAGTGATTATAGATCTATCTATAATCACTTTATCTATCTGTATGTCTGCGTCTCTTTCTCTCTCTCTCTCTCTCTCTCTCTCTCTCTCTCTTTCTCTCTCTCTATCTCTCTCTGTATATCTCTCTCTCGATCTCTCTCTTCTCGCTCTTCTCCTCGCTTTCTTTTTCTCCTCTCTCTTCTCTCTCTCTCTCTCTCTCTCTCCTCTACTCTCTCTCTCATCTCTCTCTCTCTCTCTCTCTCTTCTCTCTCTCTCTCCATTCTCTCTCTCTTCTCTCTCTCATCTCCGCTCTCTCCCTCTCTCTCTCTTCTCTCTCTTCTCTCTCTCTCTCTCTCTCCTCTTCTCTCTATCTCTGTTGATACCGAAGAATCCGATGCTGATAAGCGTAGGTGTGTAGTGTGTGGCGGCGGCGTGGTGTGTCCGGTGTGTGGGGGGGGGTGAGTCTGTGGGATCTGTGCGTGCGTGCGTGCGGTGCGTGCGTGCGTTGTGTGTGTTCATTGCGTGCTATATCTCGCTCCGGCCCTTTCATACTACACAGCCCTTGCCTCTGTAGGAGTGCATCTCTAACCACAGCGTGGCGAAGCTTGATCTCCTTGTTGGTCACACTACCCATTATCACTACATATACTTGTCATCCTTCCGTCATCTTGCGGATCATCACTGATCATATCAATTTACGACAGGCATTACATCCTCGCCTACATACATGTTCTCTATATCTGTAAGGTCAAGACACCTAACTTGTTGCACCCAATTCTACTGAGCAGAAACTGTACACTTCTCTTGGGTGTCCATTTCCAGTTTCCGAGTGAAAAATATTCGCCATATTCGTACAGTTGAATTTCCGGTAGATTAATATCGGACTTTCCGCTTTTCTGCGTCTTAGTT